CCCCAAAACCCCAAAACCCCAAAACCCCATAGATAATTTGAAATTGATTATTATTCTTAAAATTATATCAATAATTATTAAATGGAAAAAGAAGAATAATAAATATAGAGAAGATTCTCACAAGTGGATGTATTTGGATCTTAAAGATACAAAGGCAATCCTCTTGCTGTTGTTATTGATTCTCAAGGTCTTTCCAGTGAGTAGATGCAAGAATTTGCGAAATGGACTAATTTATCAGAAACCACTTTCATCCTGCCTTCAAAGCCTGCTGAAATAGAAGACGAAGATCAAGCAGATTACTATGTCAGAATCTTTACGCCTTATGAAGAATTGCCTTTTGCTGGTCATCCCACATTAGGTTCATGCCATGTTTTTCTTAATAATCTTAGCAAAGACCCTAATTAGAAAACAATCATTTAGGAATGCGGTATTGGGAAAGTGAAGTTAACATAAGTTTCAAAAGGAAAATTGGCTTTTATTTGTCCTAAAATGATAAAATCAGGCGATGTTGAGATATCAATGAGGGAAGAGATCCTTAAGGATTTGGGACTTGATGATACGAGTGCAGTGATTGATGTTTAACATGCTGATAATGGACCAGGATGGGTTTTAGTACTTTTTAAAAGCGTTCATAAGCTATTGGAACTAAGCCCACTTCAGAGCAAATACTATATTGGCTGCGCCTCTATATATTCTAAAGAAGAATAAGAATTTTATAAAACTGATTCATCAGTTGAAGTTAGAACATTTTGTCCTGGCAATAATAATTTGCTGTTTGAAGACCCAGTTACAGGAAGTTTCAATGCAGCACTTGCTCTCTATCTTCATCAAACTAAAAAGGTATCATTGCCTTATACAGCCACTTAAGGCTAATGTATGAAATTCAATGGAAGACTTTCAATCTTTCAAGAAGACGATAATATATATGTTGGTGGAGAAGTCAAAGATTGCATTTCTGGAAATGTGTTACTCTGAACAAAAGTATTACTTGAAAGTTGATTTATGTTTTGATTTTTGAGATTCTCAAAATAATTGTTGTTTATTATCCTATTTTATATCTACAACATTACTAGAGATTTTATATTACTCGCATAAGATCAACTTATAAAATTTCAAATTAATTCATATTTTATTCTTCTAATTTAACTTTTATTATGTTGCATGGGGTTTTGGGGTTTTGGGGTTTTGGGG